TATATTTTTTTTTTTTTTACAGTGTGCCATGTGGAGTTAAACATCTTTATGTAATTTGAAACAGAACAACATCAGTGGCATACTATAAAAGATTATGTTGGTTCTTCACAGATTATTGGGGGAATCGATCCGTCTCTGTATGTTGGCGAGCTGTGGTACACACCAATCAGACGGGAGTGGTATTATGAGGTCATCATCGTGCGCATCGAGGTCAACGGACAGGATCTCAACATGGACTGCAAAGAAGTGAGAACAACTCTCCTGGGTTTGCCACGAAGCAGTTATTCCTTTTGAGAGAACTGACTTCACAGATGCATGTTCAGTATCTTCAAGCACATGCACTTTGATGTGTCACGGGCTGCTTCCTAAAAATACCAAGCTGTTGCTGTTTTCACATGCCTTTCAATAGAGATTTTATTGATTTACTCATGACTCAAATCCAGACAATCTTAAAATATGAAAATCCATTAGCTATTATTACATTTGTAAAACTATGACCTAAACAAAGACTACAAGAAAGATAAATAATTTCATAATTATTGTATTTTTTCCCCAGTTTAAATTACATCTGGTCCTTCGTTATTTATAACCAGACCAAAATGTTTACCTTTAGTAAGGCTCAAAAAAAGCTAGTATACTTTGTATATGAAAGTATATTGTAAGTGAAGATAATTATTGAGATGAAATATGAGTCGTTTTGTCAAATTATGCAAAAATTTTAAAAATATTATTTAATTGTATTTTGAATGCATATAATTAGCATTAGCAAGACAAAGGAGTTAGCCATTTTATTCCAGACATTTTTAACCATCAGAACACCATCAAACAAAAAAACATCATTTAAAATGTGATGGAAATATTAAACTTCGCCTCTTATTCATGTATGCCACGTGTTGGTGATTACCAGCAGGCACCTTGATATCAGTTTAACATCAAATATTAGTCAAGACTTGATCAACATGCTGTGACATCATTTTAAAATCAGTTTGGACGGCGATATCTTCCAGGGGTCACTGGGTGGAAACAGGAAGCTAATCCCACACTGAAACTGGTTTAATGTACATGTGGGCCAAATTTACATCAAACCAACTTCATGCCTGTTTTTGACGTCAGTTTGATTTGCACATTTGACCTGTTTTTTTTAGGTAAATTTTGATGTCAATTTGATGTCTTTTCAACATCAATTGCCCACTGGGTTGTTAGAAGACCTGAATTGAATTGGATTGGATTGGATTGAATTGGATAAGCTAGTAGGTGTGTGAAAAGTGCATTTTAAACTAGTCTATTTCAAAATGTCCAGAAAGCCAAAACTACATACAGTTGAAGAAACATTTATGTATTTTCTCTTTGTACTTTTCCAGTTGAACAGTTTTTATTTATTAAACAGAGGTAAAGTAAAAGCAAAGCTTCTCATTGTTTCTCTCCGTCTCTCAGTATAACTATGATAAAAGTATCGTGGACAGCGGCACCACAAACCTGCGTCTCCCTCGTAAAGTGTTCCAGGCGGCTGTGAAGGCCATTGAAGCGGCTTCATCGGTCGGTGTATATCGTCTGTGTTGGGCTCATATTTGAACATGCTGAACGTTCTGGGTTTTCTGGCTCATCTGGCTCTTTTCCCCACAGACTGAACAGTTTCCCTCAGGTTTCTGGCTGGGCGAGCAGCTGGTGTGTTGGCAGGCGGGCAGCACACCCTGGCACATCTTCCCTGTCATCTCTCTCTACCTGATGAGTGAAAACACAAACCAGTCTTTCCGCATCTCCATCCTGCCACAGGTACTTCATTCTGCCATCTGAGTGATGTGACTAAAACCAGTTTAATACGCATGTGGAAATGTCTATAAGTTCATCTAATGAGTGAAATACTTGAAATGAAAGGTACTTGTTATTTAATGCACTTTTTGTTTGGACATTGAAAATAAATTCAATATAAATATACATTCACTTTTATATGCTAGCCTGCCAAACATGAACACGAAACTATCTGCCTGTAACACTGTATCCCACAGTTCAATGCAGTTCTCTCACATTTACCAGTTACAATCACTCCCCCTTGTGGAGGAGCGGGATCTCGTTTCTGTACCACCAGACATGATGCTGTCTCTATTCCCTCAAAGGATGAGTTTTGTCCGTTACTCCCTGAAACAAAACATGAACAATATATCCACATCCAAAAGAGCGAACTTCAACTCGACTTAAAAACTTATGAAGAGTTACAAATGTCAGTGTCAGTTTGCATGTTGAAGGGATAGTTCACCCAAAAATGAAAATTACATCATAATATACTCACCTTCAAGTTGTTCAAAACATTCTTCAAAAGAAGAATTTGAATAATGTTGGTAATCATACAGTTAATTATAGCTATTTATTTTTTTCTTGATTTATTTTTTTCTTGAGTCATCATCCATCAAGTGTTTGGTTACCCACATTCTCATTTTCATTTTTTGGTGAACTATACCTTTAATAGATGTCGTAAGAGACTTTTACTTTTAAACTTTTAAAAATTGTGAAGTCAAATAATCCTTGAAACCACACAATCATATGGTTAAACCAACAAATAGCAAGAGCAAGGAAAAATAAGTAAATGATTAAATGATATGTAATGAATGATTATAAATGTCTAAAAATTAATAACAAAAACATCAAGACAATAAAACTAAACAGATGTGTGGTACACTCACATATTAGACAGATTAGATCCTGATCCTCAGATCCTTCACCCACAATGAGAGCATGAGCAGCAGTAGAGAGTGAATACACGGTAAATGTTTTTTGTGAGCAGACGCTGCTGGATACAGTATCTTTCCTCAGCCATAAGGCCTCCTAATACCCTGTATGAGATTGTCAGAAAGGGTTAGCAGTGCTCCACTGAGGTGTGTCCATGTGGAGATTATCTGCTGTTGATCATGTGTGGGTTTTCTATGGTGAATCATGTGTGTAGCTGATATCCGTCTGTGTCTCGTCTCTCTGCAGCAGTATCTGAGGCCGGTGGAGGACGTGGCCTCGGCTCAGGAGGACTGTTACAAATTCGCTGTGTCTCAGTCGAGCACTGGGACGGTAATGGGTGCCGTCATCATGGAGGGCTTCTATGTGGTGTTCGACCGAGAGCACAAACGCATCGGCTTTGCAGTCAGCACGTGTCACGGTGAGACAAACTTTCTCTGAGGAACTTACAGTGGCCTCAAATGGTATCAGGACAATTACGCCTATGAGATTGTTTGTTCCTTTATTCCAAATAAATAGATTATGATTCACAAATAAATGTAAAGAGATTCACAAAAACATATTTACAGATAAATAGAGTGAGATCCACAAATACATGCTAGAGTTTCACTAAAATAATTGAAATTCAAAAAAAATAAAATGAGATTTGCAAATTAAAAAGCATATCCACAAATACCTATTTTATGTCACAAACACAGCTGTGCCTGGCATTCATTTGTGAATGGCTTTCTGTGCGTTTGTGGATTTTGAAACATTTCTAGCATCAAGACGTGCTGACAAATCCACAAATAGGTGGACTCCACCCACCGTCTGCTCAAGCCAATCAGATAACAGCCGCTCGTCGCTGACCAATCGTAGCATGTTCTCGCTATAACCAATCACATTTTGTTTTACAATCAGGGTGTTCTCGCCCTGAAAGAACTTTGCTCATTCATCTGCATTGGCTGAGAGAGGAAGTATAAGGTCCATTAAAACTAGTACAGTAAAACATGTTTAAAATTTGCATTTCGTTAGACTGTGTATCAAGCCAAGCCACAGTATTATATGTTACGTGCCTTTGAAAATTCCAAATCCTTAGAGAAACGGCGCTCTCTGTTATGGGAACAACACAAAGTTGGATACAGACGCATTATGGAAGGGGTCATGTTTGGTATTAAACATGATGTTTTGTGCCGTGTGTACTATGATGCTGTCGTGTACTCCAGAAGTAGAACGGGTCATCTGTTTACCGCCGGTGACTCGTTGTGTCACACCGCGTCCAGTGTAGACAGTATCATTGATTATAATGTGTTCTATGTACTTTTGACGTGTTGTGTCGGGCCACTCGCGTCAGGTGTAGAGAGGGTGTTATAGCTCGGGATCTGTGAATGATCATAATTTGTGTATATTCCTGAGGTTATCCTGATGGAAATATAAATATAAAGAAGTCTTAATCTCTGATAATCTTTTGGACACATGGTGTTTCATCCACACAAACAGCACTTCAGCTCAATTTGAACAAAGGGCCACGTTTCTTTCAGAGGAGCGAAATGTATCTGTTCCCAACTCCCTGATTGTAAAGCAAGTCATGATTAGTTATAGTGAGACTTGTACTTTTTGGAGCAACTGTATTTAATGTGGTTTAATAATCATTGTTATTAATGTTGTGTTTCATCTGCAAGAACACCAGTAATAAATACAGAGTCATATTACATTCTGGAGTTAGGCTGTTTGTTCAGAGGCTTAGCAAGATAACTGGGACACTCATTAATTCTCATTACTACAATGCAAAAACATTACCTTAACCCTAACAAAAACAAAACATTAATGTCATGCAGATTAAAAAACACAGACTGCATCCAGACATCCAGGATGTTTTATTACAGTAATGAGAAATCATCATTGAGATTCATGAATGAGATGTCACCTACCTTATTGTTTGTTAATTCTGCGCTGTAGTCCATGATGAGTTCCGCACCGCTGCAGTGGAGGGGCCGTTCCATGGCGTGGACCTTGAGGACTGTGGCTACAACATCCCTCAGACCGACGAGTCCACATTAATGACCATCGCCTACATTATGGCGGGCATCTGTGCACTATTTATGCTGCCTCTGTGCCTCATGGTCTGTCAGTGGCGCTTTACGCGCTGCCTTCATCCGCTGGGCGCTGGAGATTTCTCTGATGACATATCCCTCCTGAAGTGAGCCATTTCTAAACGCAGAATGATTTCAGTGCTTGTAAAACTGTCCGTCCTCGAGGGTCTCAAAGAAGGAGAATTGATGATATTGATGAGACTACAGTGATTATAACTATATATGTTATAATATTGCATATGCGCACACACACACACACACACATCCTAATGGGTGTCCCATCTTGAAGGATTTCGTACCCTCTGACCCTTTTTGAGTACATGAGATATGTGAATGATCCTTTATCTTACAGACTTAAGTGTGGTTAGCTGTTCTGGGACTGTTAAAGTGAAGTTCTGTAAAGTTCTGTATACTATGTGAGCGAGTGTGTCTGTGTTTGAAAGTTAGAGAGAGTTTGTTCACTATATCAAGATGTCATAATCTATAATATGATCAACACTGACTAATTTTCAAAATGAATATGGGGTATAACAAAGTACTGTTTGAGTCACTGTTTATGATATAGCAGTACCCAAAAATACCATAAGGAGCTCATATTACTATTACTTACTAAGACAACATGATCTTCTGTCTGTATTAGTTGAAAGCTTACAGTTAATAGACCTATATGATTTGTAATAATGAATGTCAGTGGGAGAGAACATGTCCAGTCATATTTTACCCCAAAATGTAATTTAAACGTAAAGCCTATTTTTAGGACCAAGAGATTTTTTCTTTATTTTCATGGCAATTTTAGTAACATTTTCCTTTAAATGTTCATTACCTCAATGCAAATTAATAAATAAAATAATATTATTATATATTTAGTATATGATTTAAACCATTTTAATTTATGCAGTGATCTTAAAATAGGATTCATTTTCTTTATGCAAATAAAAAAGTAATTGCAAATGAAAAAAATAAAATAATATATATATTATCGATATCGATTTTGCGGTCAGATGTTACCTGGACACGTTTTCTAGAGATTTACTCTAGAACAGTAATATCTAAATTACGTAACAAATATTCATCAGCTTTTGTGTCATTTCTCTGGACACATACTGTATGTAATGATGACTTCATATTGCAAATATGATTGCACACACACACACACACAACCCAACAATAAATGCACCTATACAATTGCTGTCTATCATTTTGCATATAATAACTCACATTAGGAAAAGCACACACTCTCATACATCATCTTAACCAAACCTTCAGATTAAGCCAGAACAAAACATGTCTACACTGAAAGATCTGCAAAACAGGTTCCTACTGCTAACAAACTTCATGTATTAATGAAAATCCAAATTGGCAGCTCTTACATTTAATAAAGTGCATAAAACACCAATGTGTGTATTTCTTGGCGAGTATGTGATTGTTTATTGTATATTGTTTATTTATTGTATATTGTTTGTTTGGATCCCCATAAGCTTCCACAAAGTGGTTGCTAATCTTCCTGGGGTCCACAAATCGGTACAAAATAACAAAAATCATACAAATAATTAAAATATGAACAAAAATTAAATTACACTAATCACATCACAAAACTATACCTATACACCTTAGCAGTAGCAGCACATAACGCATACATATACATATTTATAAGCATATCTTCACATTTTCTTCAAAACGCATATGTGCAATTACTCTTTCGTATATTTATGGGAACCATATTCCAAGCAACGCAGTCTTTTTCGTTAAATTTGTGGACATGGTTAAGAGAGTTGAGCCTTACTTACTTGACGTGTTAATCATGCCTAAAACTCACATATACAAGCTTTTCAAAGAAAAAATATGGTGTATGATACTTGATTACCTTATGAAAATATACCAGCTGTCTTTTCTCAGATGCACTTGACCATATCATTGGGCAGTACTCAAGATGCGATAAAACTAATGACTGAACCACATCTTTTAAAACTAAGGATGGAATAAATGCAGAACATTTCCTAGCCACAGCTATACCTTTTCCCATAATGCTTACTACATGATCTATATGTTCGGACCAGGACAGCGTATTGTACCAGTGTAACCCCTCTGGTCCTAACCGCCCCACCTCATTATTGTTCCGAGTGGGACTCGAACCCGGGTCACTGGCATGGGAGGCAGGCGCACTAACAAGGAGGCTAAAGGAGGCCTTCTAGCTGGCCTCTGTTACACCAGGACAGTGTATTGTAAAGTTTCACACGCAACAACTTAACATTTGTTACTTGTTCCACTGGCATCCCTTAGTAATATTATTATTATGACTAAAAATGATACATTTAGTGTTTTCTATATTTAAAATTAATCTATTAATTCGAACCCACTTAGTAATTGTTTGCAGCTCATCACTTAAGATTTTCTGAAGCTCAGCTGATGTACAGTATGTGCTGCAGAAAACATTGTAGAATCATCTGCATACATAGCTATATTAGCATTATCAACAACATATGGTAAATCATTTATGAAAATAGAAAACAATAATGGTCCTAAACAACTACCCTGTGGAACACCACAATAAGTATTTTTAGCGTCTGAAAAAATCCATTATAAAACACTGTTTTCTATTAGAAAGATAACTTCCAATCCAGTCCAGGGCTGTAAGTGGCTTTTACTTTTTACTTTTGTTTGTTCCATCTACTATCAACTGAACAAAACTTTTGAAGTTGTCTTGTTGATGAAGCATCTCTCTGTAAAATTCTCTCTGCTGTTCCATTAATTGAGAAAGTGTACTCATTGTGACCACTGAATCATCATCAGGAGGTGCAGTTATAGTTTGTTTGGGAGGCATGATGTCTTACCACGACCAAACGTTCAAACTCAAGTGGCATGTATGTTGAAGGCCCAGTCCTACAGGGCCTAGCCCGGTTGAAACTCCAAAGTTGAAAGGCAAACCAACTTGTCAAGAAGCTCAAAAATGTCCACAATTCATATCAATAAAATAGGACTTAATTTGATCTACAAACAATGAAAAAATAATAATTATATTTAAGATTAATTTGATTCAAATCAGATTAAGATTAGGCCTGCCAGTTGCGGTTGAGGTGGTTGAGGCTATACAACATGGAAAGCTTTGTTTCCCCCTTGTGGACAGAGGTACTCATTTCTGAGTTCTCAGCAAAGGAATTCTGAGACTAGAGATCAGATAATTGTAGCTTTACCAGATTTGATGGAAGATAACAATAAACAATTGTGTTCTTAAAATAACATGATTAAAGATTGTGTCTGCCTCCCAAACAACACTATGAAGCTATGAAAACCCTAGTAACCCTAACCCTAACCCAGAGTCCGACTGTCTATTTTATGAAAGAAGTGCAAGAATAGAATACAAACAACATATCACATTACACAGCATTAGAATTAAACAAGGGTATACATATTAATTCAAGTAAAGACTGTACAAATTAAACAATAAGTGTTTGCACTGTTTTCATGCACTTGTTTTACTTCCCAGAACAATCAAGTATTAGATAAAATTGAAGTTGTTCAAATAAAGTCATATTTCCTGCCCAAAGTTGATTAATCAGAAATAACTGGTTTGATCAAGCTTTCCAGGTGTGAGTTCAATGATTGTATAGCATTATATTGTAGACAAGATTGGAGATTAACATGCCACAACAATAAAAATCGTCACTGGGCTGGTTCTCAAAAAGGCAAGTAGAGGAATGGCAGCACCCCAGGGGGGATGAAGACTCTCTTTACAGGTCAGGTCTACTCGAAAACATCGATCCACAAAACCTATATTATTCTGCGAGCACTACTTTGTCATCCAGCCATTTAGTGATGACAGTCTGCTATCCCAGATAGCATGGTGACATTGATACAATGTTGAGTTTTGATCCAAACCATCATTTTGGTTGAGATTGACATATCAATGTTTGATCAGTATGTTGGCTCAGCATTGAAATTTTGATGAAAGTCGACAGCACACACGGGTAAAGACAGTGACACTGAACTAACAGTGATTTGTAGTTGGTGACCACAAGATCATGCTGACATATATCTCTGCAGAACACTAGTGGGTGTGTCTCAATCAGTGGGTCGTGTGAAACCATGATGGCATATTTTCAATTGCTTTAGCCGATTTGCTCTAATCCACTGGGGGCTTGGTTTAGGGGTGGGCCTTTATGATTTTAGCAAGTTTGTTTAAAAATGGTTGAAAATCACCAATTTACGGTGGCCTAATCGTGCACAACACAACGCAATTAAAAAAAGCAAAGATAAACTCAACACAGCGACATTAAAAAAGCAAACATAAGCTCACAGCACAACGACATTAAGCCACAACACAACGGAAATGCTCCCGACCACTAGGGGGCAGTGTTGAGAGTTAAACACCGATATTTCCTCGAGATGCCACAAGAAATTCTCAATGTGCGGGTTGTGTGACACGAGTTCCCGAATTGGTGGTTGGCAACAGCTAGACTGTGACTGGGCAGGAGATGGCGGAAGGAAGTGAGGAGACAGGAAGTGAGATGGGATTTGAAGAAGAAGGCGGGAGAGATAGGAGTGTTTGGAATGTAATGCGATCAAGAAAACGGAAAAGAAAGGAGAAAGTAACATCTAATATAGATGAAACAGATAATGAACAAAGTATGACAATAGCAAGTAAACAACAAGAAGAAGAATATAAAGTGATCATGAAACTATCTCAGGAGGGGTCGTCATTTGGTGAGTGGAATCTGATTCAATTAACAAAGTCGATAAACAAATTGTTAGGCGAGGTCAAAAATGCAAAAGTATTAAGAAGTGGAGCGCTGCTGATTTTTTGTAGGAATAAAACGCAACAAGAGAAAGCCATAGAACTGAATAGAATAGATGGCAAGAGAATAAAGTGCGTCTTGATTGGAAACAAGGCGTTGATTCGAGGAGTTATCACAGGAATACCGGTAAATGTCACAGAAGATCAAATCAGAGACAATGTAACAGGGGCAAAAGTGCTGGAGGTAAAACGCCTTAGAACAACCAGAAACGGGGAGAAGTGCGATAGCCTGTCTGTTATGATTAAGTTTGATGAAGCAAGACTTCCAAGTAAGTTATACATAGGTTACATGAGCTATGAGGTCAGGCCATACATCCCTCCCCCACTGAGATGTTTTAAGTGCCAAAGATATGGCCATGTAGCAGCAGTGTGTAAGGGTAAACAAAGATGTGGTAGGTGTTCAGGCGAGCATGAGTATGGGGAATGTGGAGAAGGAGTAAAGCTGAAATGCTGTAACTGTGGAGGGGAGCACAGTTCAGCCTACCGTGGATGTGAAGCTAGCAAGAGGGCAATGGAGGAATAACATATGCAGAAGCTGTAAAGAAAGTGTCTAAGGAAAAGGAAGCCTATAAACCAGAACTCAAAGAAAATAAAAGTAGGTCTTGTGGGAAGTGTGAGAAAATTGAGGCAAAGAAGGATTTGTTAGTTATGGGCAAAAATGAATTTGTGTTGTTTATGGTTGAGGTGATAAACTGCTCGGCACAGACAGACAGGAAGACAGAAAAGATCAAAATAATAGTTAAATCAGCGGAAAAGTATTTAGGAATAAAAGGGCTTAGCTGTGAGGTAGTGGAAGAAATGATAGTGGCAGGAAGCCCAAGCTCGCAGACATGGGTTGGTGGCTCTTTATGATATTAGCTATATTGTAATGGAACTCCAGCAGCCTTATAGCAAATGGACAGGAATTCAAGAGTGTTGTCTCAGATTTAGCAGATAGACCTCATGTAATA